GTGTATGTTCTCCTTGTGTGGTGTACATGTGTATGTTCCCCCTTGTGTGGTGTACATGTGTATGTTCTCCTTGTGTGGTGTACATGTGTATGTTCTCCTTGTGTGGTGTACATGTGTATGTTCTCCCTTGTGTGGTGTACATGTGTATGTTCTCCTTGTGTGGTGTACATGTGTATGTTCTCCTTGTGTGGTGTACATGTGTATGTTCCCCCTTGTGTGGTGTACATGTGTATGTTCCCCCTTGTGTGGTGTACATGTGTATGTTCTCCTTGTGTGGTGTACATGTGTATGTTCTCCTTGTGTGGTGTACATGTGTATGTTCTCCTTGTGTGGTGTACATGTGTATGTTCTCCTTGTGTGGTGTACATGTGTATGTTCCCCCTTGTGTGGTGTACATGTGTATGTTCCCCTTGTGTGGTGTACATGTGTATGTTCTCCTTGTGTGGTATTCATGTAAATGTTCCCCTTGTGTGGTGTACATGTGTATGTTCCCCCTTGTGTGGTGTACATGAGTATGTTCCCCCTTGTGTGGTGTACATGAGTATGTTCCCCCTTGTGTGGTGTACATGTGTATGTTCCCCTTGTGTGGTGTTCATGTAAATGTTCCAGGTGAGTTAGGATAGGTTCGGATTGTTTAATACATCAGTTTAGTGACGTTGTGGAGGCCTGAGAGGATGGGCAGCACCCAGGGCCCTACAGAGGCATAAGGTAAACAAGCCACTGTTTAGGGCCTCGCAGTCTGAAGGACCTCTCAAAATGTCGATTTTTTCCATTTGTTTCTTTTATTAAAATTTATATTTAAGTAATGATCTAACCTAATTAACATAAAAGTATTTTACTCATAGATTTAAATACATTCAATTCTGAGAACGAATTTCCATTATTATTTTCCTGTTAAATGTCTTGAAACTGAATAATTAAAAACATGCTTTCAAAATTTTCAAGAAACCCTTTACCCTCCCAGCACAGATTTGTTGTGTATCTTTCTTGCCAAGATCAGTTGTTAAAACAACCTTATTCTGTTAATAATTGCAAAATATAGGATCTCTGAAGCTTCCCAAAGCTTCAGGCCTCACCATGCCCAAGTCCAGCACCTGGGTCCTCACCCCATTGGCCATAGGAGCTCCCCCATTTGTAACTAGGGCGAACTCTGCCCATTCATAATGCCCTCACCGGTATGATCCCTGGCTGCAACAGCCTACGATTACAGCATAAGACGGACATGAGAGAAAAAGAAACTTTTCTGGTAGGAGGATCAGGCGACCATTACAGATCTCCTAATCTAATTTTGTTGGTAACTGTAGACTTGCTTCTTCCAAGAAGCTAGTTTGGCATTGGAGATCGGACCAGAAGCTTCTAGGTACGCGACACAGAAGCTATTGGGATCACCAAGGTATGTCATCACCATGACACCAAGGTAGCTATTATGAGGGTCATTTATGAGAAATTGCCTAGAAGGATTAATACATTTCTCTATGTTGTGTGTTTTCAGTATGATTGATTTTTGGACGCAAAATATATGTACGGCAATGCATTTGTTCATATAAATTTGAAAGACAGGTTTCAGAACTTGCATATATGTAGAATGCAGTTCGGTATTCACCTAAATATTTGATGGAAATTATTTTCATATTTTTAAACCCATATCTTTCATCAATTGAAAAGTGTTAGGAAATGGAAAGGATAAGTTTCTCTCTTTTTTTATATAAAACTCGTATTATTTGTGCCTACTTACAATAATTTTATTTCTTTCTCTTAAGAATACCACTGATGGATATTACGCCAAACACGGATTAATGTTTATAAGATTAGTAAAGTACTTTGATTTCATGCAGAAAATGCAGGAAAACGTCATTAAGAAAGTGTGTGTGTGTGTGTGTGTGTGTGTGTGTGTGTGTGTGTGTGTGTGTGTGTGTGTGTGTGTGTGTGTGTGTGTGTGTGTGTGTGTGTGTGTGTGTGTATGTGTGTCTCCGCGCGCGCGCGAATGTTTTTACATATAATATGTCATCACTAGAGCCTAAATAACAACGATGAGAAGGCTGTGATACATAATGCAGTTATAACATGGAAAATTAAGGTAATAAATAAAATTAAAGATCTACATTGCAATGCAAATCTTGTATAAATAATCAGAACTATTAGCATCATGTCCAGCTTATTAACATAGCGAATACAATGACCTGTGTAGCTGATATAAACACAAATAACAAGGCAAAGGCTGTTACGAGTATGAAAGAAGAAATCAGTAGATACTTCTATGTAGCAAATACTTCGCTTGTAATTGTTGGCGAGAATGTGACATACCTATCTTGATGGCCTTGTTAAACAGGGGAAAACATATAATCAGCTTGACGTCCTTGTAGAACAGGGAAACACAAGCAGCTCCATGGTCTTGTAGAGTAGGGGAGTAACACGTATAACCACCTCCATGTCAGACGTGCTACTAGTATGGGGTGAGAAGCAACTCAGCGACTTTGAGTAGCTTGTTATTTTGAAATCAACCGCCGCCTATTGGATTGCTAGGCTGCATGACAGTCAATTTAAAATTACATGAAACAAGTTCACCACGAATGAAAAGGTTTAGCTTAAAAAATATTAAGGCCAGGCCCAATTATGCGACTCTAACCTTCGTGCCACTTTAGCTACACAAGGATGGAAATACGCACATTGGATAAACAAACGAAAAATAGTATACAAAAAATAATGAAAGTGTTTCTTGAGTTTTTTTGGTAATTTTAAGATTTATTCTCACTAAGCTGCCTAGGTATTTATGTTTTCACTATACAATGAATAACAATGGCACTCTTTCCAATTCACAACTTATTATAGCTTTTAGGCTATCCTTAAACTTGGAATACAAATTTTGCTCTTGTTTTTATTTAAATACCACCCTGATAATAGTTAACTGATAAACGTAATCAGTAGTAATACGCACGCATGAGAACAAAGTAAATTCCTTCAACACCAAAGGAAAACGTATCATGTCAATGGACAATGATAATATGCTGTTCTACTGGATATATACATTTATTTTGGGGTTTATCGATGTACATATCAGTAAACGTGATTCGTAAACTGTTTTCTAATAGTAAATTTTGTTAATTAAACTAATTCAGTATGAAGCCTAATATCTGGAAAAAATATGCGAAATTTAAGGTGAAATCAATATTTTTTTACTTGAAATTCATGTATTATAAAAAAAACAATTTAATGGAACACAGTCTGTAGATATGAAAATGTGTAATTTTCTATAATATAAATGTTTGAAATGCTGTGGACATTTTTAAAGTAATTATTCTCTAGGTGCCCCCCCCAAAAAAAATCCCGCTTTCAAGTAACAGACAAAATGGCGACACATTATTTTTTTTAATTATGACCATTGGAAAGAAACAAATAATCCTCAGCTGCCATGGTCAGTAGGTTTTTTCATCTTTCCGTCACAGTTTAATCAACATATTTATTAATGGTTTCCGAAAGTGGAAGTTTAAGCAATGATAGAATACCAAATTCGTCATGACGTAGCTATCATAATGTCGTCCGCAAAAGCCAGTTTTTTTTTTTAAATCACTGGTGATGATGGGTGACAGAATTGGAAATATTTTGAAGTGCTATTATTAAATCACCATGGGAGAAAAAACGGATCTTACAGGCAACCATCTTAGTGAAACTTAAGCAAGCCGTTGATATTCATGTCCTCTCTCATAACGCATCGTAATTTGATTTAAAAATCCCCAAATAGCAGCTCGCAAAATTGATGCATGTCCCATTTTCTACTCATTTTCGCGACGTTGTGAACGCTATCGAGGACGGGCTAGATATTCGCCGATCTATACACCACTTCTCGATGTTTATATACTAAAGTATACTTGCTGTTTGGTTAGTAAGCTATTGTGGTGGCCAGCTCTCAGAAGTTAACGCCTTAAGCCTAATACCAAACAAGCAATTAATTTTTATTTCAGTTCGAGGTCTAGTTGATTAAATGTTAGGCTTAAGACTTTAAAACCGCGAGAGGGATATTAGACCACACAGTAGCTTACTGACCATCCAGCAAGTATAAATTAGTCCTGAACGTGGTCCAGGATCAAAGATTGACTGATTTATTGATGCAGATTAGGCCACCACAAGAGGTAGCACGGGCATGAGTAGCCCGTAGTAGGTGGTTGATATTTGGAGAGAATGTAGTCTTTGGTCGTGTAACATCTTGAAGAGTCTCTGGGCTTGTGAGGACCAGAGACCTCCTCAGTGTATATACATTGTGGTTTGGTACACCGTTCAGTGTACCATGTTAACGTCCAGTTACAAATTTACAAAATTATCGGCCTGGAATTTCCTAAGGAACCTGTTAAATGTCTTGCCTGAGAATACTGGGAATGGTGGCATCTTGAATTTGCTAAAATTTAGATGTCTATAAGAGCATATTTATAAATTTTCAGATATAATTGTCCCAGTTGCGCTAGACATCTTTTCAATAAAATCATAAAGAATATCAGGCTTACTCACATTTAAAAGTTTCAAATCTTTAGTGAAAGATATTTCTAGAAATGAGAGCATTCTCGACCACAAATTTAAACCTTATCTGGAAAGCACTGTCGTCACTCGCAGATATTAGAAGATAACTTCATACTTTACTTTTAACTGATCAAATTTAGATGTCTATAAGGGCATATTAAAAATAATTATTAATTATTTACCTAAGGTTCGCTAGTGCAGGTCAAGCCGACTAGCCTCACATGCCATATATGACTGGTCATCCAGTGAGATGGGGAATATTAGGTGAATTTAGCTAGCTCTTGACCTCTACTCTGCAACCTCTCGTTTAGTAGGAGAGTACCACACTGGGGTGCACCTAAGTAAGTAAGTAATTATCAAAAGAAGGCACCAAATCGGGGGTGCACCTAAGCTTAATACAAAAAAAAAAGTCATCAAGATACCCATGAGTGCAGTTTCCACCGCGGGACAAACTCAATGGGAATTCAGCTTTTCGTCTTTTTTCCCTAGAACAACTGGTTTACTGCATTAATGAACAACTTGGCCGGACAATCAGAACAGATCGTTCAGAGATGCACCTTTCCGGTCCTGTTGTTTACTTTGTCAGTACTTACCCTTAACTCTTCTGACATAATACTGGCTATATTAAGTTACGATTACTCTACAAGATCATAGAGCAAGTTGTATTGGTCTTCCCTGTCTTACAGTTATAGAAGATTGATTAGCGTTGGCCTTAACGAGCTTACAACCTTGCGGGGGGGGTTGGACCACCAAAATAGCATGCTGGCCAGTCAACAAGGATATCTTACTTTCAATAATGTTTCTGTTAAAAATATAATATAATTTCAATAGAAACATTATTGAATCTGCTTTAATACAAATTACAAAATCATGCAATTTGAACATTAGCAGTGGTTTGTATTATTTAGATACATTTCTGATTGATCAGTTAAAAAACGATTTGAGTAAGATCGATATAATTTTTTAACAATTTTAATTATATCATTAAAATGAAAATTTTAACAATATCATAGGTGGGCGATGAGTCACAACGTGGCTGAAGTAAGTTGACCAGACCACACACTAGAAGTTGAAGGGACGACGACGTTTCGGTCCGTCCTGGACCAACATCTGGTCAACATCAATATCATAGGTTTTAACAATTAAAAATGTTATTTATTAAAATATATGACTACATTTTCCATGCTTGTTAGTTGGTCATTAACTATGATGATGGCCTTAATAACCCTCCAGCAGTTGTTAGACCATGAGCCCAATACCAAACCAAAGGAGATACACTTATTCCTCAAAATCTAAATTATTTGTTTATGTTAGTTCTGTCTATAATGTGCAAAATGCCATGTGCAAGTTTATGTGTGTTTGAGATCTAATCTTTCAGTTATTTCTTTGTATGTATATCCTAAGATATCTTCGTGTGTGTTCATGTTGCCATGTGGTTAGGTGTATAAGATCGCAAACTCATTGAGTTTATTTCCAATAATTACAGTTGTTTACAATTCGCCATATTTATGAATTTCCCTCGAATCTGTTACAAAGGAAGGCATGCTTGGTCTACCCAGGAGAGAACCTACAGCCCTCTGTATACCGAGGTCTTCAGGAGGTGGCTGAAGTCAACGTTGCTGCAGGAGAAGGCCGTAATGATGCTGGCACTGCTGAGGTCAAATTTATTGTTCGTGAAACGTATTCAGTTTCTTCAGATATCTCTGTGTCTGGGGAAGCGAGTGTGTGAATGCTCCAGACGCTTTGGAAACCTCCCCGAGGACAGAAAGGAGGTGGGGTGCCGTTGGTGAGTGCGTAAGAGAGGCAGGAGTGCGCGTAGTGGTGACGCATGTCTCTCCTGGTGACAAATTCCAGGAATCGTCTCAGGGGCAGGATATGGCTCTGCTGGGCCGTCCACACAGTCAGAAAGTCTTCCAAAACGTGGTGGACGCGTGTGGGGCGAGGCAGAGGCATTTTACCCCACTTTTTCATCATATCAGATTCTGCCGAGTAAATAATATCACATAAAAGACTCGTCTGAGCTCATTTTCAGAATGCTTGATAATAAAATAAATATGAGTGTTAATGAATCTATCAAAGCTCAAATGTTTCATAAAAATGCTAGAGGTTATAGGAGATATTTAGTCTCTGTCATCATCGCGAGAAACAATATTATTTATTAAACCCTGAGAGGAGTGTAGACGTAGAGAAGTGACTAAGATACAAGAGGCGTGTGGGAGAGGAACCTAGCAGTACTGAGCCTGCAGGGAGAGTCTTGCAGCAGAACAGTTTCTAAATGAAAGGAATTATTATAGAAGTGAACCAGAGGAGGAAAATCGTAAGCAGTGAATTTGTAGGAAAGAAAATTATATAATTATTATACCTAATCTATAGGAAGAGAATTATAGCACTAGTGTAACACAGTAAGACTGAGTTATGATGCCCCATGATGAAAAAGAGTACCTGTTGGGAGCTTTCTGTAGTAGTAGAAGACCGGATGTAAGAAATTGGAGCGATGGGCTTCCAAGGGGTCGCCTGTCGCCCTGTCTGCTCTAAAAGTGTCCTTGTCGGGGCCAGAGAAATCAGGGCCATACTCCATGAGGACCACTATCACCTCCCCGGCCTCCCGCCCCGTCAACTCCTCCAGGCGGGCCAGCAGGTGCACAGGGAACTCCTTCAGTATTTCGAAATTCTGGCCACCACTGGAAAACACAGTGAGATTGTGATTGATGTCACAAGCAAAACATTAAACTCTGTGGGGGGGGGGTTAGTCACCACACCGAGGATGATTAGTTAATATGAGGAATAATGTATACATTGAGAATGTTGTCTCTTATTGCATAGAAGTTGACAAATAAAACATCCATAACACTGGCAGAGAAAACTACAAATATAAGTTTAAATAAGTAATTATCAAAAGAAGGCACCAAACCGGGAAGGCTGTGTAGCACCATCAAATGTGCGGCATAATCAGAGGGCGCTAAATATCACCAAGGATGCCAATACGAGAACAGAAGCGCATTAAGGCAATTTAAGTTTAAAATAAAGCTGTACAGTGTTTTTGAATAACTGGTGATCAACGGTGTCGGGGAAAGCGTAGGATAGTAATTTATTTTCAAAGACAGATATGCAATAAAAAAAAGAGTATATTGTTCCATTCTTGAATTATCAGTAGAAATAGTAAATCGATAAGATTTTATGATTTGTAACCGTAAAGAAAGAGGAAATACAGAGCCCCAGAGCTTAAGAGCAGGAGTTATGGCACCTTGTGGTGTATATCTCTGCAGGAATACGACCATGGTTCAGTATGGGGGTCATTCCTCTCACCCTCTAGATACTGGGGTTATGATGGTCACTGCAGGTGCCTAATGACTAAACAATAAGGAAACTACTCCTGTATACAGTCTAAGATTTTCAAGGGTATATTCACCGAGAAGCGGGCTACAGCTCTCTGCGTTTATCCCTTGTAATACATTTGACCTACAGTTCGTTCTGGAGGATGGGATGGTGAGGAAATGCTAAGTAGTTATACACTTGATAACGTTAAATATGCAGTGAACATAAATATTACAACATTATTTTATTTTTATGCGTTTGCAATTGTGTAGAAAGTGAACTATGATTAATCATATCTGAGATACAGAACACAAATGAATCACAAAACAATGTGTTCCCTCCCCCGCTCAAGCCGACGAGTTAAGTGACGACATCACCACGCCGTACTGAATATTGGCAGCAAGACACAGTGCCTGGGGTCCCTGGGGTCCCTGGGGTCAACACAAGACTAACACTCTCCAAGAGAGCAAGTTGTCTGGCGACTCACCAGAAGCTATCTCTTGTGTGGTTGTGTTGGGTGGGGGGTTGTGCAGTGTGTGGGTGAGTGGTGGTTGTGGGTCTTGTGGGTGTGTTATGTCGTGTATTGTTGTATGTATACAATAAATGTGCGGTTCTATGTTGCGTGTTGTTGTACAATATTTGGATGTTACCTGTGTGTTGTATCTGGATGCTGGTTGTGTGTAGTGTATGGGAATGTGTTGTATGTGATTGAACAATTGCGTAGGATTAAGTTTAGTATTTGTATCGTGTGTATGGATAGTTGTGAGTTTGGGTATGTGTATGTACTTACTATTTGTGTTTGCAGAATCGAGCTATTGTAACGACGAGATTATGTTACGCCCTCTTCTCGCCTCTGCCCCCCCCCCTCTCCCTCATTTCTGCTATTTTATCTGTCTTTGTCTCTCTCTCTCTCTCTCTCTCTCTCTCTTCTCCCTCTCTCTCCTTCCCTCTCTCATTCCTTCCTTCTTTTCCATTTCCTCCTTCTTTATTATTATCCCTTCTCTCTCTCTTCCTCCCTTGCTTTTCTCTTCTCTTTCCTTCTTTTACAAGGCTTGGCCGTCCCTTCTGATAAGATCGGGGAATGTCCGCTACAGAATCCCCCCCCCCCACAGACCCGGTAACGCGTCAATTGGTTACCTGGGTGGGTGATAGTTACACCAGTCACCTGGCCGACACCTCACACCACTAACGAGGTTGTCCTGGCCCCAGTGTGCTGTCTACACGGAGCAGTTGCCAGATGTTAACGAGTATAATCATCGTGGGTCAGCTGTCTCGTTGTTGTCACCAACGCTACCCACCAGCCTCGTCGTCAAGATTGCAGGCGCACCGGAAGTGAACGGAGAGAGGCCCGCGAAGAAGTATGCCAGCTACAGTCCTCACCAGTCCCCTCTCGACGCCTGTGGATACGTCGTCTGATGAAACCGGAAAGGTAACGAGGCGGTCACATGACCAAAGCCACGGTCCCCCTAGAGTGCGGTTGACTCGCCAACAGGGCGAGTCACCATCGGCCCGAGGTCAGCTACACGAGGGTATGCATGAAAGGTGTTTCGGCCCAATAGTACTGTGACAATACGTAAACGCCGGAAGATGACTTCATCCAGGAGCTGAGGTCGGGACCCACCCGTCCTGCCACTACGCCATCCACCTCAACGCCTCTCGATGTCCACTCCCGTCGCGAGACACCATTGTCCCTCGAAGCTCTCTTCTACTGTTGGACAGACGTCTCTAACAGTCTCATCCTTCAAGCCTGCTTGCGAGCTACGTGTTGAGTAGTGACCCCCGTGTCTCTGTAGCAAGGTTCACCCGGAGGCGACAAGCCACAAACAACTGTCACCTTACACACAGACATCACAATTGCGTGATGCATCAAATGAACAAATCCACAAGTCGTGACGAGGATTCGAACCTACGTCCGAGAGCATCCCAGACGCTGCCTTAATCGACTGAGCTACGACATAGTCAAAAGGAGTTGAAACCGAAGTTCTACTGAACTTACTGGATCCTGCAGCCTCTCCGAGGCACAAACCAGGGTTTTACACAACTCCCCCATGCACTCGAGCTATGTCAATAGGGCGTTCTCCCTCTTCGCCCTTACTTCATTACACACAGGGGGGGAGTTGTGCAAAACCCTGGTTTGTGCCTCGGAGAGGCTGCAGGATCCAGTAAGTTCAGTAGAACTTCGGTTTCAACTCCTTTTGACTATGTCGTAGCTCAGTCGATTAAGGCAGCGTCTGGGATCGACAAAAGTCGTGAACAATTTCTTTAGTATATCGCCATCCATGTATTTAAAAACAATTCTGAAGTTAGGAAGCATGGCATAGGCTCCTCGCACAACGTTCTTCATGTGGTCCTCAGGTGATAGTTTTCTATCTAGAACCACCCCTAGATCTCTTTCCTTATTAGAATTCGTTAAAGATTTCTCACATAATTTAGAGGTTGTGTGGGGTCTATGTTCTCCTATTCCACATTCCATAACATGGCATTTATTCACATTAAATTCCATTTGCCAAGTGGTGCTCCATATACTTATTTTGTCCAGGTCTTCTTGAAGGGCATGGCAATCGTCTAAGTTTCTTATCCTTCTTATTATCTTAGCATCATCAGCAAACATGTTCATATAATTCTGTATACCAACTGGTAGATCATTTATGTAGACAATGAACATCACCGGTGCAAGAACTGAACCCTGTGGTACTCCACTTGTGACATTTCTCCAGTCCGATACATTGCCTCTGATTACTGCCCTCATTTTTCTATCAGAAAATTTTTCATCCATGATAGAAGCTTACCTGTCACCCCTCCAATATTTTCCAGTTTCCAGAACAACCTCTTATGTGAAACTCTGTCGAAAGACTTTTTTAGGTCCAGATAGATGCAGTCAACCCAACCATCTCTTTCCTGTAAAATCTCTGTGGCTCGATCACAGAAGCTGAGTAAATTCGAAACACAGGATCTTCCAGATCGAAAATCATACTGTCTGATATTATATCATTTCTCTCCAGGTGTTCTACCCATTTAGTTTTTATTATTTTTCTAATATTTTCACTATTACACTTGTCAATGATACAGGTCTATAATTGAGGGGGTCTTCCCTGCTATCACTTTTGTAGATTGGAACTATGTTAGCCTTTTTCCACACGTATGCTACGACTCCTGTATACAGGGATGCTTGAAAGATCAGGTGAAGTGGAATGCTGAGCTCAGATGCACATTCTCTCAGAACCCATGTTGAAACTCCATCTGGGCCAACTGCTTTGTTCTTACTTAGCTCCTTTAGGATATTTTCCACTTCATCTCTAGACGAAGTAGGTATGTTTGGGGGTTTGGCCTCTTCCTATATTGATTCCATTTTTGTGTCTTTTGGTCTCTGGCCCTCTCACAATTTCTGTTGAACCAATCCTGTTTTCTGGCCCTGCATCTCTGTTTTGGTATGAATGTTTGTATGTCTTCATCGTATATTTTGAAAAATTTGGCATACATTTCATTTACTTCCCTGCCTAGCAGCTAATCTGTCCAATTACACTCATTAAAATTTTGTCGAAGTTCCCCATAGTGACGTCTCTTGAAATTGATTTTATCAACTGTTTCAATGTCCCCATTTTCTTCTAGACGATATTTTAAAGCATATTTAATGTCTAACAGGACGCGATCACTCTTTCTCAAGGGAGGAAGGTACTGGATGTCAAATATCTCTTCTTCTTTCCGGGTGAATACTAGATCCAATACTGACGGTACATCTCCTTCCCTCATTCTTGTGGCCTGCTTGATGTGTTGATACAAGAATGTCTCCAGAATGAGGTTCACAAATCTGCATGTCCAAAAGTCCTCCGTTCTTGCTTCATAGGCCTCCCAGTCTATTGCTTTAAAGTTGAAGTCCCCCAGTATCAACAGTCATGATTTATCTTTATCTGCTTGTACAATAATATCTCTCATGACCATTATGAGGCCCTCTCGTTTGTCATCCAGTACTTCCTTTGTTCATGTGTTGCTTGCTGGTGGGCTGTAGGCATTTAAAATTATCAGCTTATCATCCTGATTCCAGACCTGCAATGCCATTATGTCAATATCTCGAGGGTTTTCAAATATTAACTCTCTTACCTTCAAGTGTTTTTTCACTAGTACAGCCACTCCTCTTCCTCCCTTCCTAGTTTTCCTGTCACATCTCCAAACTGAGTAGCCCCTTGGGAATACAACTTCATTTATTATATTTCCTTCAAGTTTCGTCCCTGATAATGCGACAATATCTGGGACCTTAAGCTGAATTATATCTTGCAACTCCAAAGTTTTTGACCTCACTCCATCTATGTTGGTATACGCAACTTTCAGGAACATGTTCCCTTTCCCTTTGCTCTTTACTCCCCCTTCCACTACTGATCTTGTTGCCTTGTTTTTATGTACAATTTCACAAGCTTTCCAGTCCCTGACACTTTGTAGAAAAAAGAATTTCTGTCTTCCTCATTTCCATCCTAATTTAGACGTTTTGCTTCAATGAGGTTCATTTTCAGCTTTTCTCTGTCTTCCTTTGAGAGGTCTTGTCTTATTGACCAAAGTTTGCCACCCTCATCACTCTGCAATTTCCCGGCATTTCTAAGCAGTTCCATCATGTTTTTTCACTCTATTAAACGTCACCTTTAGGGGCGGTTCTTGTCTTTCTCATATTTTCCTATTCTAAAATCACTGACATTTTCCTTTGAGCTTTCTCCTAAACCCTACTATTTTCTCTATGATTTTCATCTCTTCTGCTGCTCAGTCCACCCTAGATGAAATTTCCTTCTCTAAACATCCAAAAATTATTATGGACTTACTTCTATCTGCAGTGTTTTGTACCAGTTTACTGTTGGTAACCAGTTCTTTCCTAATTGCTTGCCTAATTTCTGCTTCTTGTTGGTCATCTCTGGTTTTGACTTCCGAACACACTTCCTTGATTGTCTCTCTCTCTTTTACAACTTGCGCATATGTATCTTTTAATTTTTCTTTATACTTTTCTAGTTCTTTATTAACCTCCTCTATTTGAGTTGCCAATGAAGTTTCTCGTTGCATCTTCTTGCCTAACTCCATGTTAGCCCTCAGGCTCCCTTGGAGTTCTTCACCATACGAATCTATTTTCTTGTTAATTTCTTCAAATTCCCTACTCTTCACTTTCCATGCCTCATTATTCTTTAATAGTTCCTTGATGTGTTCCTCCTGTATCCTTATCAAACTGGCAATTTCCTTATCTTGCTGGAAAATACTTCCTTTTAACTTTAAAAACTCAATCTTGAGACCTTCATTTTCTTGTTCTAATTTAATAAACTTTTCTTCATAATTCTTTAACATGTCCTCAATAATCACTAACCTGCTAAGAAAACCACCTTTCATTACATCTTGTCGCGAGAAAACTGCAAAACATTCCGTTGATGGGGTGCTGTCCTCCCCTGTGGTGTCGGCCATCTTTGTTGTTATTCTGCTGTTTTGAAAGATCAACTTTTCTAGCCAAGATTTTTCATTCACTAACACTTATTTCTTATCTCTTAGTATATTTTCAAATTCCCTGCACCTTCATGTATTCTGGGACACCACTTGCAGCCCTCACCCTACTCCCCTACACTTAAATAATTTGAATTATCCTGGAGCCTGCAGCAGTGTGACTCTTCAGTGTGATGATGCTCACTTGTTCCTTGTGTGTGTGTGTGTGTGTGTGTGTGTGTGTGTGTGTGAGTGAGTGAGTGAGTGAGTGAGTGAGTGAGTGAGTGAGTGTGTGTGTGTGTGTGTGTGTGTGTGTGTGTGTGTGTGTGTATAGTAAGTTAGTTGAGCATATTATTGACTTAAGTTGGTTGTGTGTAGTTGAGGAGGTAATATACAGTTCATTCTTATAATAGGCTATGCTGGCCATCATCACTATAAAGGTCTACATAAGTGCTGCATGTAACTTTTTACATTGAAAATTGAAGATTTTTTAGAATTTTGGAAAAAAAATAGAGTTGCAATTGGGCTACACAACCCAGTAACAGAAGGAAGCTGTTTTACGATAATTTGTTAGTGTTTTAAATTTTAAAATAATGTGATGATATTTGAGATATTGAACAGATATTGAGATATTGTGATGAACTTACTCTCGGAGGAGAATAATATCAGCGAGGACCCCGAACATCTGGTAGGTGGCCGAGGCCTCGTTGATGCGACGGACCACCACATTAAGAAGGTCACGGGTGGAGTGCAGGGTCACCGGCCACCGCTGACCTTCGTAGCGCCACTCCAGCAGCTGGTGCAGGACACGCACTGGCGGGGGGACACGACCCTCATTAGTACGCCGCTCCCATCACACAACACACATGGTGAGACACATGAACACTCAGGGAAGGTATCAAACACTTACACACGACTTGGGAGCAGCCCAGAGGTATATTATAGTGACACTTGTCTTGACTACAACTGTTGTCATCACTACTACTGTTGTCATCACTACTACTGTTGTCATCACCCCTACTGTTGTCATCACTACTACTGTTGTCATCACTACTACTGTTGTCATCATCACTACTGTTGTCATCACTACTACTGTTGTCATCACTACTGTTGTCATCACCCCTACTGTTGTCATCACCCCTACTGTTGTCATCACTACTACTGTTGTCATCACTACTACTGTTGTCATCACCCCTACTGTTGTCATCACTACTACTGTTGTCATCACTACTACTGTTGTCATCACTACTGTTGTCATCACCCCTACTGTTGTCATCACCCCTACTGTTGTCATCACTACTACTGTTGTCATCACTACTACTGTTGTCATCACCCCTACTGTTGTCATCACTACTACTGTTGTCATCATCACTACTGTTGTCATCACCCCTACTGTTGTCATCACCCCTACTGTTGTCATCACTACTACTGTTGTCATCATCACTACTGTTGTCATCACTACTACTGTTGTCATCACCCCTACTGTTGTCATCACTACTACTGTTGTCATCACTACTACTGTTATCACTACTACTGTTGTCATCACTACTACTGTTGTCATCATCACTACTGTTGTCATCACTACTACTGTTGTCATCACTACTACTGTTGTCATCACTACTACTGTTGTCACCATCACTACTGTTGTCATCACCCCTACTGTTGTCATCACCACTACTGTTGTCATCATCACTACTGTTGTCATCACTACTACTGTTGTCATCACCCCTACTGTTGTCATCACTACTACTGTTGTCATCACCCCTACTGTTGTCATCACTACTACTGTTGTCATCACTACTACTGTTGTCATCATCACTACTGTTGTCATCATCACTACTGTTGTCATCACCCCTACTGTTGTCATCTGTTACGTACTCCTATAAGATACGTAAGTAAATAAATTAATATGTACATTTATAATTGTGTAAATTACAAGCATGTATATTGATATACTTATATGTTCTATGCAAACGTACATTCATGTTACAGTGTTGGCGTTAGGCCCAACGTATCGTGGGAATGATTGTTTTATTTCTTTGTGTGCTCAGTTTCCCACGGGAACTAATGATTTATATGTGATCATATGTGGGTAACAGAGGTGAATAATAATTGAGTGAACTGTATCTGGCAAATTGTCGTGGGACCGTCCGTTGCTGGGTGTGCATGCCATTATTCCCTTCTGTATGCATATTTTAATTACTATGTAAAGAAACCATTACCTTATTTTTGTATATCAATATGTATTAATTATTCACTAAGTTAGTTTAAGATTACTCTTGTCACAATGTATTTCTCCATTGTTGAAATAATAAATATTGTAACTTTGGCAATTTGTTCGCGGGGCAAGGCAATGTGTTTTGACTCTCGCGTTATTGTTATTCAGTAGCTGATCCGGAACCAGGGAGTTAGCATCTTGTTGGAGTTAAGTTATACATTTTTGTTCTGTCATAGCCATACATATAATAATTTTAATTTAATGTCTGGAAGATACAGTGATATTTTTAATGTGATATATTGTGACCAAATAATCATCTGTTTGCTATTGAGATTTATTTAATATATATGTATATAAGATTTTGATCTATTCTTCAGTCCTAAGGAAGATTTATTATTGTGCTCATTACTTATCAAGGGGTTATACTGGTGATTCGCTATTGAGAACAGCAGTTGTCTCGTATCCCTAGACGTAATTAAAGTTGGCTGCTGTAGGGTCACGAGCCGTAACGAACGATAGGTAACAAAGAGTTATGGGGGCCTGTGCCGGGAAATATTGTTCCCACTTTAACTTAACTATGCTAATCTAACCTTGCCTTCCTAGGTACCAGTGTGTCAAGTGTCTGTGTTTTATAAGAACTATTCCATGTGCCAAGCAAGCCTTCCTGTGTGTCAAGTAACAACGTTTCACGATTTTGAGGTAAGTCATCCTATATATTTTGTTTGTGCAGTGAGGCCAAGCGAATTTTCAGTGTGGTGACAATTTTACAGTGAAGTGTAGTGCAGTGCCATTGTTTTAATTATTTTTGTGAATCAAGTGCCAAGTGTTAGTAATGATGGAGGAGAAAGTTGTAGCGTTGTTGGCTCACCCAGACTTTGAAGGGATTCAGAACCTTAAAAAGACTGAGTTAATACAAATGGCAAATCAGTTGGATTTGACCGCCAACAATAGAATGGTTAAAGCTCAAATATTGAAAGTCATTGTGACACATTTTGTTGAGAATGAGGAGTTAGAGGAAGAAATTTTAGAGGAGTTAAGAGAGGAGTCGAGTGATCAGATGACGTTAAAGCGTCTTGAGTTAGAAGCGCAAATAGCCAATGCGAAGCTTGAAGCTCAAAAGGAACAGAAAATATTAGAGGCTGAAGCTCAGCAAAGGGAGCTTGAGACTAGGCGTTTAGAAATTGCGGTACAGTTGCAAATAGAAGCCACAAAGAAGCAACAAGCCGAGGAACAAACTAGGCAATTAGAGATTCAACAACAAATGGCTGACACTAACTTCAGGCTTGAATCACAGCGTATGGCAGCTGGGCATGGAAATACTAGTAATGTTTCAATAAATAGTGATAATAATCCCATCAGGATGAATAAGTATATAGAGTTACCCAAGTTCAATGAGGAGGATCCTGAGGTTTTCTTTGCACATTTTTATAAAATTGCCATCAGTATGAACTGGCCAAGGGATCAGTGGGTAGCCATTATGCAGTCTCAATTTAAGGGGCGTAGTCAGGAGGTTTTTACATCCCTACCTGACGCTCATAGTTTTGATTATGAATTTGTAAAGAAAAGCATCCTAAATGCGTACCAGTTAAATCCAGAGGCACACAGGCAAAAGTTCAGAAACCTAAGGAGGATAAGGGATCAGACAATAGCAGATTTTACTCGTCAGAAGACGAATTTTTGCAACAGATGGTTAAAGTCACTTGCAGTCACTGATTTTGATGCTCTAAAGAATCTTCTTATAATGGAAGAAGTATTGTCATGTCTCCCAGACCAGTTGTCTACTTTTATGGCAGAACAAAAGAATGTAACAGACATTTATGAGCTGTCAAAGCTCGCGGATGAGCATGAGTTGTTGACTAAGGCCCCGTTTACGGCCACTTCACCTAAGTCTAGTCGTAGAGTAAATTATAATGCTCATCGAACTCCTTATTAGTATAAGTCTCCTCCTGGTACGACAGTTACTCCCGTGAACTCTTCTCTTACTAACCCTAAGATGGTTACTCCATTGCCAGGATCATCTAAGCCTAGTAATGCTAATTCTAAACCGGCAGTTGGTTCTACCAGTGTGTCCACTGTCAAGCATTGTACCCATTGTAAGAGAAGGGGGCATGTGATTTCTTCATGTTTTAGTTTGCATCCTGAACTACGGCCAACTGGTCTTATTATGAGTAAAGGATTGCAACCTATTAATTCTTCATGTATTACAGTCAGTCCCAATTGGATGGCTGAATTTAAACCCTATATTTCCACAGGTACCTTATTATGTAATAATGGTAGACATAAGACTGTTCAATTACTCCGTGATACTGGAGCTTCACAGTCTCTTATTACCCAGAAGGTACTTGCTGATGTTGACACCCGAGATCTGGGTGAAGTTGTGCTTCTCCAAGGTATTGCCGGTAGTGTGCAACCGGTGTCCTTATTGCAAGTTAACCTTGATTCTAACTATACTTCAGGATGGTGTAATGTTGGTGTAAGTAAACAACTGCCCATTCCTGGGGTAGACATTATTCTAGGTAATGATTTTGGCAACCAAATGGTTGTAGGGCCCAAGTGTCCCATCATGTTAACTAAACCCCATAATGTATTAGCTCAACCAGAAGCAGATGATGATATTATTTACCCTGCTTGTGTTGTAACTAGATCAATGGGACAAACAGGTGAGAGTAATTCTGTCTTCACTGAGGTTGCTGTTCCCAAGACCAGGACCCCTTCAGTAAAGGAGTGGGAGGTGGATCTTGAGGATTCCTTTATGACTCGACTGGATGATGAGAGTGAGGCCGTAGTAGAAGCCCCGCCGAACCTAAATCACAAGGAAAGTGAAGGTGAGGAGGCTGAACTATCTGTACCTTGCCCGCTTGTCTCCAGTGCGCCAGATGATGAGAGTGAGGCCGTAGTAGAAGCCCCGCCGAACCTAAATCACAAGGAAAGTGAAGGTGAGGAGGCTGAACTATCTGTACCTTGCCCGCTTGTCTCCAGTGCGCCAGTTGTCGAGAGTGAGGCCGAAGTAGCTATGACTCCATTTTATTCTGATCAATCGGGAAAAGAGATCAGGCTACTAGGTTCTTGCCCGCTCGCTGCTGAGTCTGAGTCATTGCCCTTAAGTGTTGTACAGACTACTGATCCTAGTTTAAGTAAGTGTATTTCTGAGGCTCCTGATAATGTTGATGCATTGGAGGAAGGGACGGGTTTCTTCTTCAAGGATCGACTTCTGATGAGAAGGTGGAGACCCAAGGGAACTCCCTCTTCAGATGATTGTGAGATTAGAACCCAACTCGTTGTCCCCAATGATTATCGTAGGCAGGTCCTACAGGCTGCACATGATGACCCCATGGGAGGTCATCAAGGTATCACTAATATGTACCATAAGATAAGCAAATATTTTTTCTGGCCAAAGTTAAAGAAAGACGTGGTCAGATATTGTCATAACTGTGTACCCTGTCAAATTGTTGGTAAACCAAATCAATCTGTACCTAGAGCACCATTGCAACCTATTGTAGTTCCTGATGAACCATTTACTCATGTTGTAATTGATTGTGTAGGTCCTTTACCTAAGACTAAGTCGGGTAACATGTTTTTGTTCACTCTCATGTGTATGACTACTAGATTTCCTGAAGCTTATGCTCTACGGAATACCAAGGCTCATAATCTCATCAAGTGTCTTGAAAGATTCTTTTCGATGTTTGGAATGCCTAGAGTTATTCAGAGTGACAATGGGGGAAATTTTGTCTCTAAAGTTTTCAGAACTTTTTGCGAGTCCCGAGGGATTCGGCACAAATTATCCAGTCCATATCATCCACAAAGCCAAGGTGGGCTTGAACGTTTCCACCAGACTTTGAAACAAATGCTGAGGACAACAGGAGAAACTCATCCACGTAATTGGGATGAGAATCTCCCCTTTGTGTTGTTTGCTGCTAGAGAAGGGCTACAAGAGTCATTGGGCTGTTCACCTTTTGAACTAGTGTTTGGTCACCAAGTAAGAGGTCCTCTTAAAATGCTACAAGAAAAGTTGTTGGGAGATGTCTCTGTTCATCAGAGTGGATTGTACTTGAGTGAGGTCAAGGCCAAGTTGTGTCGGGCTCGTGAGTTGGCGAAAGAACATCTGGGAAGGACTCAACAAGCCATGAAAGTAAGATATGACAAGAAGTTCAAAGCTAAGCTCAGGTCGTTTGCTGTCGGAGATTTGGTGTTGGTGTTGAAACCTCGTATGGGGACTTCCATGTCCCATAAGTTCGCCGGACCCTACCAAGTGGTAGACAAGGTGGGAGACCTAACTTATAAACTAATTAGCCCTAATCTTTCAGAACCCCAAATGACTGTGCACATTAACAGATTAAAAGCTTATGTTGGACCTGGTGTAGTAGCTTGTTTTAGTCGGGAAGAGTTACCACCTGAGGATAATTGTAGTGAGGGACATGATGTTAATATTCAACTTCTCAGTTCCAGTTCCAATGGCAGGGAGATGCTATGTCATTTACAGGAGGAACAACGTGATGAGTTCCAGGTTCTGCTGGACACCCATACATCTCTGTTTGGGGAGGTTCCTACCCAGACCCACCTCATCACACACGACATTCAGCTCCTGGACAGCACCCCCATTCGACAACATCCGTACCGAGTGAATCCCGAAAAGAGGAAAATTATACAAGCAGAAGTGTAATATCTGCTCCAGCATGATTTCATTCGGCCAAGTCAAAGTACTTGGAGCTCTCCGTGTTTGTTAGTGCCAAAACCAGATGGAACCTGGAGATTGTGCGTGGATTATAGGAAACTGAACAAGAACACTACCGTGGACGTTTTTCCTTTACCCTTGTTGGAGGAATGTATTGAGTCCATAGGACATGCCGAATATGTAAGTAAGCTTGATTTGTCAAAAGGCTACTACCAAATTCCATTAACAGAGTATGCTAGGGAGGTTACTGCTTTTGTTACACCTGATGGTGCGTATGAATTTAATGTCATGCCATTCGGTTTGAGAAATGCACCTGCTACTTTTCAAAGACTCATGAATTTCTTACTCAAGGATGTGCCAGATTGTAGGGCCTACCTTGATGACATTGTTTTGTACAGTAAGAATTGGGCAGATCATCTCTTAGGCCTTAAGAACTTGTTTACAGTGTTGAAAAACGCAAAGTTAACCATAAATATGAATAAGTGTAGTTGGGCAAGAGGTACGATAACTTATCTTGGACACGAGGTAGGACAAGGTAAGATTATCCCCTTACAAGATAAGATTCAAGCCATTGTGGACTACCCAGTGTTAACCAATAAGAAAGGAGTCCAACGGTTTATTGGTATGTGTGCATATTATAGGCGTTATTGTAGAAATTTTTCAACAGTAGCTGCTCCTTTGACAAATTTGTTACGCAAGCAAGTAAAGTTTCAGTGGACACAAGATTGTCAGAATGCTTTTCAGAACCTAAAGGGCATATTGTCCACCTCACCTATTCTTGCTAGTCCCCAATTTGATAAACCATTTATATTACACATTGATGCGTCAGATGTTGGAATAGGTGCTGTGCTTATTCAAGTTGGTTTAGACAAGATTGAGCATCCTGTGTATTATTACTCTAGAAAATTTAATGCAGCTCAGAGAAATTATTCCGTGGTAGAAAAGGAGGCGTTGGGTCTTATATTGTCAATTAAGAAGTTTGAGATTTACTTATCAGGAAACAAAGTGTTAGTATTTACAGACCACAACCCCCTTATCTTTATAAATATGATGAAAGTCAAGAACCAACGAATTCTGCGCTGGTCATTGTTTTTGCAGGAATTTAATGTAGAAATCAAACATATTCCAGGCAGGCAAAATGTTATTGCTGATGCTTTGTCAAGAAGTTTTGATGTACCATAAATGAAATGTTTCTTTTCACTTAACATTTTTACTTCGGAAAAAATGCCATTGATCTTCAATCCATTGCATTTTTTTTCTTGGAGGTGGAAGTGTTACGTACTCCTATAAGATACGTAAGTAAATAAATTAATATGTACATTTATAATTGTGTAAATTACAAGCATGTATATTGATATACTTATATGTTCTATGCAAACGTACATTCATGTTACAGTGTTGGCGTTAGGCCCAACGTATCGTGGGAATGATTGTTTTATTTCTTTGTGTGCTCAGTTTCCCACAGGAACTAATGATTTATATGTGATCATATGTGGGTAACAGAGGTGAATAATAATTGAGTGAACTGTATCTGGCAAATTGTCGTGGGACCGTCCGTTGCTGGGTGTGCATGCCATTATTCCCTTCTGTATGCATATTTTAATTACTATGTAAAGAAACCATTACCTTATTTTTGTATATCAATATGTTTAATTATTCACTAAGTTAGTTTAAGATTACTCTTGTCACAATGTATTGCTCCATTGTTGAAATAATAAATATTGTAACTTTGGCAATTTGTTCGCGGGGCAAGGCAATGTGTTTTGACTCTCGCGTTATTGTTATTCAGTAGCTGATCCGGAACCAGGGAGTTAGCATCTTGTTGGAGTTAAGTTATACATTTTTGTTCTGTCATAGCCATACATATAATAATTTTAATTTAATGTCTGGAAGATACAGTGATATTTTTAATGTGATATATTGTGACCAAATAATCATCTGTTTGCTATTGAGATTTATTTAATATATATGTATATAAGATTTTGATCTATTCTTCAGTCCTAAGGAAGATTTATTATTGTGCTCATTACTTATCAAGGGGTTATACTGGTGATTCGCTATTGAGAACAGCAGTTGTCTCGTATCCCTAGACGTAATTAAAGTTGGCTGCTGTAGGGTCACGAGCCGTAACGAACGATAGGTAACATCATCACTACTACTGTTGTCATCACTACTACTGTTGTCATCACTACTACTGTTGTCATCACCCCTACTGTTGTCATCACCCCTACTGTTGTCATCACTACTACTGTTATCATTACTACTGTTGTCATCACCACCACACTGGTCATCACCACTACTGTTGTCATCACCACCACACTGGTCACGGTGTTGTCATGACTGACACAACTAAGGGTCCGTCACCGTTGTCATGACTGACACAACTAAGGGTCCGTCACCGTTGTCATGACTGACACAACTAAGGGTCCGTCACCGTTGTCATGACTGACACAACTAAGGGTCCGTCACCGTTGTCATGACTGACACAACTAAGGGTCCGTCACCGTTGTCATGACTGACACAACTAAGGGTCCGTCACCGTTGTCATGACTGACACAACTAAGGGTCCGTCACCGTTGTCATGACTGACACAACTAAGGGTCCGTCACCGTTGTCATGACTGACACAACTAAGGGTCCGTCACCGTTGTCATGACTGACACAACTAAGGGTCCGTCACCGTTGTCATGACTGACACAACTAAGGGTCCGTCACCTGAGTAACGGAAGCCATGGATGAAGCCTCCGGCAGACTTGCGGTAGTCGAGGGAGTGGGTGACGGTGCCGGCGAAGTAGAGACCGGCCACGTTCTGAGCCTCGTAGGTGTGTTTGATCCCCGGGTACTTGGCCTTCTTTGTTGACCGCCTGGGCATCGTCGAGCTGTGGGGATGGGTGCTGTAGTGCATATATCAGGTGCTCAAGTATCATATACCTTACAACGGGAAAGGGAATGTACGGGTAAGGATTAACAGGTAATTTATGGTGCCTAAGCCTTACACAAATTGTAGGTCTATGTAGTACTATTAATTACTTGGTGTGACAAATTTGTATATATACTTTTGTTCCTGGGTAGTAAGTGTAATTTTCTGATTGCTTATGGCTCTAAATTATATAAAATGGCTATTATTACCTTCAAACTTTGCTCTGACCTTTGCCTCAGACATCTGAGGGAAGACGGTGTGAAGGTACCTGAAGGCTGCCGACTTATGGAACAATGTGTCACAACTCTAGACCAGGAGTCGCCAGCCTTCAGGCACCTCCAAGACGTCTTCCCTAAGATGTCTCAGCCAAAGGTCAAAGCAAAGTGTGAAGGGAATAATAGCCATTTTATCTAATTTAGAGCCATAAGCAATCAGAAAATTACACTTACTACCACAGGAACAAAAATGGTTTCATTATCTTATAGATGATTCTCTTATAAAATTCAATAATGTCTTTACAGGAGACACGTTACATTAAGTACCGTGGTACTCTACACTATTGTCAACACCCTGCAAAGTGTTCAACTCTATAGCTGCTACGCTCAGGTGTCTGTAAACCTGTTTGGGTTAGATAAAGTTTGGTATGGGGTCCACAGGTGTGTCTGTGGAAGCCTAGGGTGGTTCTACCTGAGTGTACCCGCCGGCCATCACCACCAGTAACCTCCACAAACATTGTTTTTTTTTTTTTGCAGCCGAATTTTAAACAGAGTACTGTACTGTATACTGAGAGATGTGTTATCTGTCTCCTCTTGTGTGTGTGTGTGTGTGTGTGTGTACTCACCTAGTTGTGCTTGCGGGGGTTGAGCTTTGGCTCTTTGGTCCCGCCTCTCAACTGTCAATCAACTGGTGTACAGATTCCTGAGCCTACTGGGCTCTATCATATCTACATTTGAAACTGTGTATGGAGTCAGCCTCCACCACATCACTTCCTAATGCATTCCATCTGTTAACTACTCTGACACTGAAAAAGTTCCTTCTAACGTCCCTGTGGCTCATGTGGGTACTCAGTTTCCACCCGTGTCCCCTTATTCGCGTTCCACCAGTGTTGAATAGTTTATCCTTGTTTACCCGGTCGATTCCCCTGAGGATTTTGTAGATTGTGATCATGTCTCCCCTTACTCTTCTGTCTTCCAGTGTCGTAAGGAGCATTTCCCGCAGCCTTTCCTCGTAACTAATACCTCTTAGTTCTGGGTCTAGTCTAGTGGCATATCTCTGAACTTTTTCCAGCATCGTCTTGTGCCTGACAAGGTACGGGCTCCATGCTTGGGCCGCATACTCCAGGATTGGTCTTAGATATGTGGTGTACAAGATTCTGAATGATTCCTTACACAGGTTCCTGAACGCAGTTCTGATGTTAGTCAGCCTCGCATATGCCGCAGATGTTATTCTTTTTATGCGGGCTTCAGGAGACAGGTTTGGTGTGATATCAACACCTAGATCTTTCTGTCTGTCCGTTTCATTAAGTACTTCACCTCCTATTCTGTATCCTGTGTCTGGCCTCCTGTTTCCACTGAATAGTTTCATTACTTTGCATTTACTCGGGTTGAGCTTCAACAGCCATTTTTGTTTCAATCCTCCTCATATTTTTTTCATCATCGGCAAACATTGAGAGAAACGATTCTATACCCTCTGGGAGATCATGTGTATTTGTGTAGGTGATTATATATATATTATATATATATATATATATATATATATATATATATATATATATATATATATATATATATATATATAATATATATATAATAATATATATATATATATATATATATATATATATATATATATATATATATATATATATATATATATATATATATAGCAGGAGCAGTGCGTGCCCCCCATGCCGGAGACTTCCTCCTGGCAGTACCCATGTCAGCAATGGGCACGCGCCTAGATCCAGAATCCCTTCGTGTAGCAGTGGCCCTCCGCCTTGGTGCCCCAATTCACACTGAATACAAGTGTATTTGCAACAGGGTGGAAGCAGATCAATATGTACTACTGCATGGGTTGCATTGCGGAAGCACAAAGGGCTGGCATGCAAGACACAACGAGGTCAATGACATCAAGAGAAGCCTCGTCTCAGCTCAGTGCCCAGCGGAGAGAGAACCTCGCATCCTAGGGGTCCAAAACCCGGATTTCCCCGCACTTCACCCTGATGGCATCACCATATACTCCTGGAAGGAGGGTAGACAGTTGGTGTGGGACTACACATGTGTATCCACCCTGGCTGACACCTATGTACACTTCGGAGTTGATCAAGCAGGTGGGGCGGCCAACCACAGGGAAACAGCAAAATCACTCAAGTACAGGCGACTGGAAGGTCAATACCTCTTTGTTCCCATAGCGTCTGAGACGCATGGCCCCTGGGGCAAGAGTGCCTTGGGATTTCTCAAGGAATTGGGTTCCAAGCTCATTGACGTCACCAGAGACCGAAGGGCTTCCAGTTTTTTGTTTCAGCGCCTTAGTGTGGCGATCCAGAGGGGAAATGCTTGCTGCGTCCTCGGTTCCTGTCCGGAAGCGGAGGAGCTTCAAGAGATCCATAACCTTTAGGCATTTGTCTTGTAACCTTTAAATACAATATATATATATATATATATATATATATATATATATATATATATATATATATATATATATATATATATTTATATGAATGTATGAGAATGTGTACATGTATATATAACATAAATAATTGTGTAACTAGCGTCAAAAGATTGTTATTTGCTTAGCTAAACGAACTAGAGGGTTCAGTTCCTGAACCGATTATGTGCCTCTGTAACCCTTTACACCAACGCCCACGGGATGGGTATGGGGTGCATAATAAAGAAAGAAATAGAATTGAATTGGAGGACGCTGCTTTAAACAGCCTAGCGAGGACAGGTTGCACGATCATATGTGAGTCGTGTGTAAATAGTTTATCATCCATAAATAGCGGGTTTGGCAGCTGGATTAATGAGCATTTGGCTATTTTTTTTATTGAGACGAGCTGATTAAAACTGACAAATACATCAGTGAGGGTCGACCGCCGGTTCGACGACCTAGCCTAAGGACAGGTTACACAGGAATACTAATAAGATTTAATAAAATGTATTAACAGTTCCTTAATTTTAATAGAAAATACTGTAATTCCATCAGAAAGTTACACAACTAATACAAAACCATGGAAAGTTTAATCATACAAAAGTAATAACAGTCCAGGAGTATAAAAGGACGAAACACACAACAAAAATAAAACTATACAACAATGGGAACACGACACAAAAACATATACTGCCGGCGGAATGTGTAACAAAACTTAGAATGCAAAATTCTTAATAAACATAACAATGATAGGCCTATAGCCTATGGCTAGAAAAATAGAAATAACGCGAAGTGCAATCAAAACTAGAAGAAAAATGGAGAAAATATCAGCGTAGCCTTAGGAAATGCACGGTAAAAAACCTTGTGAGAGTTGAAGAAGTCAAACATTAAGCCCAGGCATGGATACAAAACTTACTTGTCAAAGATGGAGAAGTCAAACTTGAATCCGAGGCAGCGGATAACACTGTCGTAACCCTCGCGCAGTGAGAAGTTGTCGAAGTCGTTCTCCGTGACCAGCTCCTCGCCCCCGCTCTCCGCCTCTGCGTCAACACACACACAGGTACATACATACATACCACACGGAAATACATATGTAATAATTATACATAAATATAAAGCAAGACCAATAGCTTAACAAAGATAGCCACTATACATGGCACACAGTACTGAAACAAAATTTTCTGTAGATTGTGAAAAAAAATTGTATACATATTTATTATTGAATTATGTTTTAAATGTTATTAGAAGGGAGGGAGGGAACTATCAGGGAAAGCGCCAAGCCACTACGACTTAATAGCACTTGGAAGGGGTCAGGATAAGGATTTGGGATGGAACGGGGAGAAGGAACGGTGCCCAACCACTTGGACGGTCATTGAACGCCGACCTGCATGAAGCGAGACCGTCGCTCTACCGTCCAGCCCAAGTGGTTGGGCACGAAGTAAATATTTTTTCCTATACTAATAATCTCAACAATATATGGCAGCTATAAATTCATGAAACTCGTGAAGGAGTAACAGAATAGACGTTCGATGGTTGGATTGTTTCTAGCGTAGGTTAGAGAAGTGTGGAAGTGTGGTGAAGTATAAAAAGCAGGCGCCTTGTATAGCCCATTCACAGCCCCGCTCCTGTGCCAGGTAAGTCCACTACGGAACTTTTTGTTCCCAGTAGCTGAATCTATAACAACAGCAAGGTATAGACCATTACGGGCTCACCATAGCCCGTGCTACATGGACATTTCATTCTGAGTAGCTAAACCTAAAACAACAACAACAGCGTATAGCCCAGTATACATGAGGAGGAAAGAAGGTGACAAGATGGTGAGATGGATGAGCGTGATAAATCGCCCACTAATCGTGAAGGCGTGCGCGACCCGAGTGCGGGTGTCCGGTTACCATCTCAGTGCCAGGATAGGCGTGAGGGTTAACTAATTTTTTGGAGGCTCTAGCTCTTGGACCGGGGTCTTACTAGTTTTAAACCGTCGTATTGTGTACGTATTAAACTCCCTTTTTTTCTAGTGTATGGAGTTGTAGTTATATAATTTGGTTAACCTGAGAGGGTTTTTTTTGCCTCTAGTTACAGATCCGCAGGTTTCACAATCAGGAATCAATGACACAGAGGCCCAGTCTCTGGAGTGGATGAGTTCCACTTAGATGTATTGGGCTACATATACGGCCCCTACCATCTGCCGTCACAGCTGTCAGCACCACCACCACCTGCCGTCACAGCTGTCAGCACCACCACCATCTGCCGTCACAGCTGTCAGCACCACCACCACCTGCCGTCACAGCTGTCGGCACCACCACCATCTGCCGTCACAGCTGTCAGCACCACCACCACCTGCCGTCACAGCTGTCAGCACCACCACCACCTGCCGTCACAGGTCTCGGCACCACCTGCCGTCACAGGTCTCGGCACCACCACCACCTGCCGTCACAGCTGTCAGCACCACCACCATCTGCCGTCACAGCTGTCAGCACCACCACCACCTGCCGTCACAACTGTCAGCACCACCACCACCTGCCGTCACAGCTGTCAGCACCACCACCATCTGCCGTCACAACTGTCAGCACCACCACCATCTGCCGTCACAGCTGTCAGCACCACCACCACCTGCCGTCACAGCTGTCAGCACCACCACCATCTGCCGTCACAGCTGTCAGCACCACCACCACCTGCCGTCACAGCTGTCAGCACCACCACCATCTGCCGTCACAGCTGTCAGCACCACCACCACCTGCCGTCACAGCTGTCAGCACCACCACCACCTGCCGTCACAGCTGTCAGCACCACCACCACCTGCCGTCACAGCTGTCAGCACCACCACCTCTCGCCGCTCCCATCTGCCGCATTTAAAAGTTAATTTACCTTTATCAATATATCTAGTCACCTTTTCTCCTACTTACATGTAGGCTCCTCTGTTCTTTTTAACATGAACATTGTTATGGAAGAAAATTTAAGTTTATGCTTTTTAAGATAAATTAATTTTATCTAGGGTGGTCATAGAGTCAATTCGAAGAGGCATTGTCGTATATATGTATGTTTGTTCTCAGCACATTTGTTTTATCCGTATCAGTGTTCTGTTAAACATTTTCTTCTATGTTGAAGGCTGATTATCACAAAATCAATCCTTGATGCCTGGTTTTAGGTCCTAAATATTCATTAGCCTCCCTGCTCGACGCCCCTAAAGTGCGTCATCATATATTTCTTAACCAGCCATACCATATCACACCATCGGCCTTGTGATCCTAAGAACATACTGTGCCGGTAACCCGTCTTACTGTAAGATACATGCTATTTCTGGATTACACTTATGCAGTTGTGCAACACACCATCTTTACAGCATATTGGAATATGCAATGTGTTCAACACTTCCCTCAAGAAAATATGCTTCCATTAAGATGAAGTGATGTGTGGCAACTGCTGCCCACCTAACATGGCGGAGCTGCTGCTCAACTTCCTTGAAGTACCAATAGTTCTCTTTATAAGAAAAAAATGCTCGATTGTTAAGATATATTTCACACGAGAGAAAAAAATAGTTTTGCTATGATTTATAATAGCAAATGTCGCCAGGGAGCAATATGAGAAGCCTCATGCGCAGCCTAGTTCCTGGCACTGTTCATTCGTGTGCCCAGGCTGCGCAACCTCGAACCCTAAATCCTTTTACATTATTTGCTGAATAGGGAATGTCTGAGTCTGAAGAAAGTTTCCGTGCTGATTACTTTAACTCTGATTACCTTCAGCACGATACTTCAAAAATGTCCACATGATCCTGACTTGTTGGTGCACAACCAGTTCAGTGCGTCAAGAATACGCCTCTCTTTTAGGGAGCATTTTCTCCTCTGCCCATAATGTTCCATGTGAGGGAGCACGCTTGCTAGACTGTGGTGTAAATTGCATTCTTCTGTCTTCATAACTTATTCACTCTCCTTTGCCATTATCCCACATACTTTCAAAAATTGTTTCTTCTATCGAAAATTCTGTCATTCTGAAATATTACCTTCAAACATTATCACAAATTATATGTATTAAGAAGTTTTTCTTCATAAAAAAAAGGACTTTCAGCCGATGATAAATAAATTATAAACAGGCCGCCAAGGGTCTTCTACCAACAGTACTGGTACCATGACCAATGCATTTGCCCGAAACGCTATGCGTACTAATGGCTTTAGATTCTGTGTACCTTGGCAACAAGGTACACAGAATCACCTTGGACAAACAGGAAAGTCCTTACAATTGCGGTTGTCACAACATGCTTATAGTATTAGAACTGCCCAAACAGCTAATGCATTGTATCTACATACGAGTTTATGCGATCACAAAATTAACTGGAATGGGGCAAAAAGCATTACCAATTGTGGGGATTTCGTGGAACGGAATTTAATTGAGTCTGCTCTAATCAGTCAGTGTCCAAATCTTCTTAATGTTAGTACTGGAATGTACGAACTTGATCCATTTTTAAGTTATAATATTGCACAACAGTTTAAGAAAAAACTCTGATAGAGGCTTACAATGTCTCATTATAATTTTATATTCATATATTGTGTGTTCATGAGGCTTTTCTTTAAACTTTCATCCTTATTCTCTGACCGCTTAATCCTCTTTGACCATTCTAAGCTAAGCTATACCTGTTTCTGGTTAATTCTTTCCCTAGGGATGGGTTGGTCAGGTGTCAGCCTATATATCCTCCCCCTTCTCCCTTCTCCTTTAGTCAGTCTGGTGTTGACAAAGGCTTTAACAAACCGAAACGTTCACCTCATTTCATATTTCTCTGTGGATTTTCCGCATATATATATATATATATATATATATATATATATATATATATATATATATATATATATATATATATATATATTAGTATATTTTGGTAGCAGTCTTTCCTGTAGACATATATTATTAAATATGACCGAAAAAGTAAGATTAATAATTCTAACACGAATTTTCTCAATCTTTCGTACATTATGCTTCACTGTTGGAGGTAAATCAAAAATCACTTCTCCAAAATTCATTTCGTTTCAAAAATTCATTCATTTCAAGTCTGACGCGACACGGGCGCGTTTCGTAAAACTTATTACATTTTCAAAGACTTCAAAGAAAAGAAGTTCCTGTAAAATACACAGGAACTATTTTACAGGAACTTCTTTTCCACAGCTCATAAAACAGAGGAAAGGGTCCTGAAAGATATTGTTAATAGAAACGTTATCCCTACAGACAAAAATCAGAGGATACAACTGACGATTTACTATAAAACCAGAAAAACGGCCAGCCTACTCATGAGAAACTCTCCAGACACGAAACAGAACGCTTTAAAAGAGACTAACGTCGTCTATGCCTTCAAATGCCCACTTGGGGACTGTAAGCTCCAAAAAAACCCAGTATATAGGCAAGACAACAACATCTCTTTCTAGGCGTTTAACGATGCATAAACAACAGGGCTCCATTAAGGAACATATAATCTCTTCCCATAACCAAACCATCGCCAGAGAAATCCTAGTAAACAACACAGAAATCATCGATAGATACAGCGATAGCAGGCGGCTTGACGTTTGCGAGGCACTACACATCAAGAAGTCAACACCAGCAATCAACAGCCAATTATTGCACAACTATATTCTACCCACCTCAAGACTCCGCTCCAATATAGAAGCATCAAGAAATATGGACCAATAGGCTTTCTACAAACACTTCTATTCAATACCCATTGTTTCTGTTCGGTCTTGTGTTGATACTTTTAATACCCTATTAATATCCTCTAGTGTTCTGTCTTGTGTTAATGCCACATCATCCTTCCCACCTCACTCGAATGTAATGCCACATCACCCTTCCCACCTCACTCAAATGTAGATATAAAATCAGGGAAACGCAAGTTCTAATCAGTTGTGTATTTGTGAAGTCTTTGAAAATGTAATAAGTTTTACGAAACGCGCCTGTGTCGCGTCAGACTAGAAATAAAAATGAATTTTGGAGAAGTGATTTTTGATTTACCTCCAACAGTGAAGCATAATGTACGAAAGATTGAGAAAATTCGTGTTAGAATTATTAATCTTACTTTTTCGGTCATATTTAATATATATATATATATATATATATATATATATATATTTGTAATATTGGCTAATGAACATACGAGCAAGAGTATACTACAGAAGGCCTAATGACTAATACATATGAATTTACAAAAGCTAAATCCCTAATGAGTTAGTTGTCTGTTAATCATGTCACTAACGTGGTTTTTAATAGATCCATATTGTACAAATCATTACTAATATTCATGTTGTATGGCTTTGTAACTTGTATTAAAGAAGAGTTAATTATATTTTTATTAGTAATGCTTTTATAAATTGTTATTGAATATCTCTCCCAATCAATTTGGTGCGAATTTTCTGATAAATGAATAAATAAAGCACTATATGAACAAATCCACAAGTGCCGTGATAAGGGTTCGAACCAACGTCTGGAATGACCCGGACACGGAACCCGCAGCCTCTCCGAAACACAAACCGGGGTTTACACAGTTCCCCCCCCCAATGCACCCGTGCTCTTGTCAACAGCTTGTTGACAAGAGCCCGAGGCGTTGGTTCGAACCCTCATCACGGCACTTGAGGATTTGTTCATTTGATGTATCATGCTATTGGGATTTCTGTCTGTAGAGCATTATATGTTTGGTCACTAAAGGAGATCTAAAGGAATGTATATATAGGTGTATGCATGTGTATGACTTAATCTGGGCTGACGGTATCTTAATCCTCCTCTTGGAAGGAATCATGGAATAACACAGACCTGAAAATTGTATTATTTGAACATACGATAATTTGTTCCTAATACCTTTATTGGCCTGGACCTGCTTGAGAGTGTCAGCATCCCAGGGGAACTGAACAAAGATTCGTCCATCTCGGCGCTCTAGCACCATGTCCTCCACAGAGGCTTCCAACAGCCCGTCCAGGGACTTGAGCTGATATGTGTCCAGGAGGCCATTGTTGATAGCCCTGTGGGACATGAGCATAGTTATGACTGGTTCACTGGATGTAAGAACAAAATGTTCATTATCGGATAAGAAGATAAAACATTTATATACTACTGAAGTGTTTTCAGGATATATTTTGTGTACTGTTGTGTTCCATCTTCCGGGATTGCGGTTGGGTTTTCATGACTTTTATGACATTTGTGTACATATTCTCTTGCATTCATGTGACACTTGTATTTCTGTAGTATGCTCCCTACGGGTCTCCCCTTCATGTATAGTTCTTGTTATTGTATGGGTACTTCGACAGTCCGTTAGATTTGTGTGGAGTATGAACCCTGCTAGGCTCAATGTTTGTATGTATAGATTGGTCGCATTAAATTATTGTTAGATTTTATCATGTTATTTTTTTGGAGGTCTGTTGTGTTAGGGCTTTGTCGTTGTTGTACTGCACGTGAGGATATTTCCTTCTTTTAATGTATGAACATAATGTATTATTGTGTTTTAAATAAAGGAGAGAAAATGTACTACTGTATATTGGTAAGAGTTCTAATTAATCATTAGGTTGCATTGACATATCCAAAGCAAACATCTCACCATGATAATACACAACAGTAAGGCAGCAAATAATAGTAACAATAAAGTGCTATGGGTTTGTTGGTTTGATGTTAAGTCCACAAGGAAGCATTGCCACGAAAGACAGAAATATAGTTTATATGTAGACTTGTCGTAGAGTTGCACGATACGCCTCCACCTCTCACTCCGTCCCTGACTGTACCCATTGCTGTCTTGGGTAACAATGAAGTTTCTCTGTTTTGGTGGAACGTTACATGAAGAACACATGTGAAGGAAGAGGAGGATGAAGTGTGTGGGTGTGTGATGGTGGGCGCGGTACCTGAGGTCGCCGACGTAGTGAGTGTTCCAGGAGAGTCTGGCCCGGGAGCGGGACACCATGTGGACCATGTTGGTCGCACCGTAGATGGCGTCGGCTGTCTCAAACGCCGCGTTACCTGTCGGTGTCGGGTGACGTTAGTGCAGCCTCCTGGTTACAACCTAGCCTCGCGAAATGGTAGTAACGTTGTACAGAATGTACAAAATATAGACTGTTGTCTGTGGCCAAAAAGTAGACACCAAGTCTACTTCTTGTACACTTAGTTCACTAAAGCGCACAACAACAACAACAAAAACACAATATAACAAAAACCATCACTTTTGCGACGTTGTGACAAGTCCAGAGAACCGGCAGCTGGAGCTAGTAAACAACCCTAGACCTACTATAATATCTTTGGCCTAATTTACCACACCTAATTTACCTGTGTCTGTCGTTGTATTTTGCAACCCCCCCCCCAACAAAAACAAAAATAATAATACAAAACAAAAAACAATGACAAAAATAGAACAAAAACAAAAAATAATAGTACAAAACTTGAACATTTCTGTGTTCAAACATCCCATGTTATTTACATGCCATCCACAGCCGCTATGGGTAGTGTCGGTTTTTGAAGGATGGGATGGTCCTTAATGATCAGTGTCACGCTTAGCACACGCAGGGGGTAGTGCCAGGAAGGTGAAGGAAGTACTGGTGCCAGGAAGGTGAAGGAAGTACTGGTGCCAGGGAGGTGAAGGAAGTACTGGTGCCAGGAAGGTGAAGGAAGTACTGGTGCCAGGGAGGTGAAGGAAGTACTGGTGCCAGGGAGGTGAAGGAAGTACTGGTGCCAGGGAGGTGAAGGAAGTACTGGTGCCAGGGAGGTGAAGGAAGTACTGGTGCCAGGGAGGTGAAGGAAGTACTGGTGCCAGGGAGGTGAAGGAAGTACTGGTGTCAGGAAGGTGAAGGAAGTACTGGTGTCAGGAAGGTGAAGGAAGTACTGGTGCCAGGAAGGTGAAGGAAGTACTGGTGCCAGGGAGGTGAAGGAAGTACTGGTGCCAGGGAGGTGAAGGAAGTACTGGTGCCAGGGAGGTGAAGGAAGTACTGGTGCCAGGGAGGTGAAGGAAGTACTGGTGCCAGGGAGGTGAAGGAAGTACTGGTGTCAGGAAGGTGAAGGAAGTACTGGTGTCAGGAAGGTGAAGGAAGTACTGGTGTCAGGAAGGTGAAGGAAGTACTGGTGCCAGGGAGGTGAAGGAAGTACTGGTGTCAGGGAGGTGAAGGAAGTACTGGTGTCAGGGAGGTGAAGGAAGTACTGGTGTCAGGAAGGTGAAGGAAGTACTGGTGTCAGGAAGGTGAAGGAAGTACTGGTGCCAGGGAGGTGAAGGAAGTACTGGTGTCAGGGAGGTGAAGGAAGTACTGGTGTCAGGGAGGTGAAGGAAGTACTGGTGTCAGGAAGGTGAAGGAAGTACTGGTGTCAGGAAGGTGAAGGAAGTACTGGTGCCAGGGAAGTGAAGGAAGTACTGGTGTCAGGGAAGTGAAGGAAGTACTGGTGTCAGGAAGGTGAAGGAAGTACTGGTGTCAGGAAGGTGAAGGAAGTACTGGTGTCAGGAAGGTGAAGGAAGTACTGGTGTCAGGAAGGTGAAGGAAGTACTGGTGTCAGGAAGGTGAAGGAAGTACTGGTGTCAGGAAGGTGAAGGAAGTACTGGTGTCAGGAAGGTGAAGGAAGTACTGGTGCCAGGGAGGTGAAGGAAGTACTGGTGCCAGGGAGGTGAAGGAAGTACTGGTGCCAGGGAGGTGAAGGAAGTACTGGTGCCAGGGAGGTGAAGGAAGTACTGGTGTCAGGAAGGTGAAGGAAGTACTGGTGTCAGGAAGGTGAAGGAAGTACTGGTGTCAGGAAGGTGAAGGAAGTACTGGTGCCAGGAAGGTGAAGGAAGTACTGGTGCCAGGGAAGTGAAGGAAGTACTGGTGCCAGGGAGGTGAAGGAAATACTGGTGCCAGGAAGGTGAAGGAAGTACTGGTGCCAGGGAGGTGAAGGAAGTACTTGTGTCAGGAAGGTGAAGGAAGTACTGGTGCCAGAGAAGATGAAAGAAGCAGGTACTGGTGCCAGGGAAGATGAAGGAAGCAGGTACTGGTGCCAGGGAAGATGAAGGAAGCAGGTACTGGTGCCAGGGAAGATGAAGGAAGCTGGTACTGGTGCCAGGGAAGATGAAGGAAGCAGGTACTGGTGCCAGGGAAGATGAAGGAAGCAGGTACTGGTGCCAGGGAAGATGAAGGAAGCAGGTACTGGTGCCAGGGAAGATGAAAGAAGCAGGTACTGGTGCCAGGGAAGATGAAAGAAGCAGGTACTGGTGCCAGGGAAGATGAAAGAAGCAAGTACTGGTGCCAGGGAAGATGAAAGAAGCAGGTACTGGTGCCAGGGTAGATGAAGGGGGAGTCTGAGAGGGAATGGTAAACTGCAGAAACATTATCTTGGAATGGAAATGGGGCTGGAATAAATCTGGAGCTTGGGGGGGGGGCTATCAGTTCAAATCCTGAAAATCCTTGGAATGGGACACGGGGAATGAGAATGAAACATGGACATGACAATGTAAGAGACAAGGAGTTCGTGGCCAATTATTATTGACTATACCCTACGAAATAGGAATAAATATATTTACATATTAGGCTACTATTAGGATATCTCATAAATAATGTACTGTATTTTTGTGAAAATACATTGTAAATGTGAAACCATTTATTAAAATAATTTATATTTGATTTATGTATGTGCAGTCCATCTATGTATGTACTCTTACCTGAATAAAAATTTGAATTTGAATTTGAATTATACGTTATTGACGCGCCCGTGTGTGTATTACGGGAATATTACAAATACACAAAAGTGGTTGTACGGCAGGTCAATAAATAAATAATCACAATAATTAAGGGACACGGGTAATACTCACCCCGGCCAAGGATGAGGACATTCTTGCCCTCGTAGTTCGTGGGGTCAATGTCGATGTCCTCGTAGCCCTCGGCCAGGTCTGACCCGGGGAAGGTCGGGGAGTTAGGCACCCCGAGACCAGTAGCCACTATCAGGTACCTGTAGGGCAGGCACACTCACCACTAGTACAATTGACAACACTGTAGTAACCCAACCACTGTATTACATACCATAATATCAAAATGGCGACGTTTCGCTCCTTTCTGGACCTGGGATTTGCTAAGGGCTCCATGACGGACCGAAACATCGTCTCTCATTTCATACGATGGTTTGAATAACTGTTTCAGGCTCGTTATTGTGACTTATGCCCCTGTACTGGTTTAAAGGGGGAAGGGGAATTATCAAGAGAAAGCGCCAAGCTGTTACGACTATATAGCACTTGGAAGGGATTAGGATAAGGATTTGGGATGGAACGAGGGGGGGGGGGAGGAAGGAATGGTGCCCAACCACTTGGACGGTCGGGAATTGAACGCCGACCTGCATGAAGCGAGGTCATCGCTCTACCGTCCAAACTAAGTGGAACAAGAGGTCTGTGGTAGAGAATAATAATAATAAATACAAAAACCACATGCCACCAGATACCAGGTATTCTCATATCCTAATCACTCAAATTCTTGTGAGATCCCGACGTATCCTAATGAAGCATTCGTATTATAACCAAGATGAGGCAATTATCAGGAGGAAGAGTGATTAACGGTGTAAGAAGTGAAGGAATTTTACACCTGGTATTCATATTGTACACCTGATTTAAATTTTTTACATTGCTTTTCATAATTTATACCTGATATTCAAATTGTAAACCTGATACTCACAGTTTACACCCGATACTGACATTTTACATCTGATATTTCCAATTGTTCACCTGATATTCATATGATACGCGGACATAAAATGATGAGTTTGATGCCTAATGTATACAATATGCTATAGAGTCAGCAAAACTCCAATAGGCTATAAGGTCAGTATTTAATGCAAGTACTACGTCCGCCTGATGTCAGGTCTGGCGTTGTTCACCTGGAGGTGTGGCAGATCTACTGACATGTGTGGTAATCCTGTTTGTAGGTGTGGTAAAGCAGGTGTGGTAGGTGTACCTGCAGGTGTAGTCCTGCCTGCAGGTGTGGTATAACTTACCTGCGGGTGTGATGGGTCTACTTACAGGTAGTGGTAGTTGTGGTAGAGCATACCTGCAGGTGTAGGGACGGTTGTGCTGGTCCCGCAAGGTGAAGGAACTGCCAGGACGTTGTGGGGAGCTGGGCAGGCGACGCACCTCCCGCACCGCCGTGTTGTACAGAACCCGCAAACCCTGCCGCCTAGCGAACTCGTTCAGGTACCGCACCATTGTGTCCCCCTGTGGACGTGAGAAGGACGTGAGCAAGCAGATGGTGGGGACGTTGCGCAGGTGGTGAGGGACGTATGACAGGAAATCGCTAAATTTCTTTAATTGCAAGTATCAGAAAAGGTATCTAGTTAAATTCCTCATTGGTTTGCAGTCAGGTAGTGTTTTTATATTTCAGGAAGTGACATCTTTATATTAAATAAATGGTGATAAATGAATTAAAATAACCTTGGATTGTAAGTGATTTTATTAGAGAATAGTTGCCAGCGAGTATTTACCTGTATTCTGTTAGTAATAAATTATATGATTTTGTATTTAAATTAATATTTCCGGTACTTGTTATAGATAATAACTTTGGTAATTACCACGATCTTTTCCTCCTCCTTAAATTGTAATTTTCAAGACATTTTAATCACTGGAGTTTTTCCGGAGCCTAGGCTGCGGTGGTGGACGCTGGGCAAAGGTATGGTAAGGATAGGCCGTAACGGTGGTGGACATGTGGCCAGCATATACTCATCTCTCCCGGCTTACCTTTACCTGCATTGGTGTCCCCTGACTTACCTCAGGAAAAAAGTCGTCGGAGAAGTGCTTGAAGAGAAGGCCCTCGTCATCAGAGAGAAGAGAGTTCCAGTCATGTCTGAGGTTGAACTCTTGATTGGTGCGTCCAGTGTGGCGCTTGTTAATACTGATGAGTCGCCGGTGACGGGGGTACGTGCTGAAAAAGCTACCTGCATGCGGTAGTAAAGGGATGATGATTAGTGGTGCTATTGACGAGTCGCAGGTGTTGGGGATACGTATTAAAGATGCTATTTGCTGGTGAGTAGAGAGGGGCGGTGATTAATGTCGCTGGTATAGAGGTCCACGATCAGTTGGTACAGAGGTTTGGGATTACAGGTGAAGGGTTGGGATGAGTGGGGTAGAAATGGGTTAGGATGCAGAATGGGTGAACAGAGTTTTAGGATGAGGATGGAAGATTTTATGAAAGCTATGACATAGGCTGTAAAGGGTGGAAACGAAGATAAATTAAGCGCTGAGGAAACAAAGAACCAAGCACAGAGACTATCCAAGTGCCTCTTACAACGTAGTGAGTTCGCGTACCATTCATGCTCTCACTGATCTAATAATAATAATAATAATAAAAATAAAATAATAGAAAATATTAAAAGCTTTATTTCACTTATGTTCGTATGTTGCGCAGATACTTTGATTCTTACATATAAATGAGATACGTATACGTATCTCATTTATATGTAAGAATCTCGTGTATATATATATATATATATTATATATTATATATATTATATATATATATATATATATATATATATATATATATATATATATATATATATATATATATTATATATATATATATATATATATATATATATATATATATATATAATTATATATATATATATAATATATATATATATATATATATATATATATATATATATATATATATATATATATATATATATATATATATATATATATATATATATATATATATATATATATATATATATATATATATATATATATAGAGCAGTGTCAGACCTCGAAGGATTGAAAATGGAATTTAGGTAAGTACTTTCCTATTTAATAATACATCTTCAGAAGGATGGATTTACAACTCAGTAGATTGGATATATAGGCAGGAAAGAGGTGAAGTGAGGTGAGGTACAATGACATACATGAATGGGATTCAATGGATATAAATACGAGCTGCATCGTATGGGTCAGTATGTCTTCTGAAGTTACCTTCATTCTTATATTTTAATGTCATTAATAAGATAGTGGATATTAACACGGTATTAGTGAGACAAATGTGTATCAATGATCCTACTCAAATTGTCCTTTAACTGATCAATCAAAAATGGATCTAAGTTATATAAGCCACTGCTAATGTTCAAATTACATGATTTTGTAATCCGTATTAAAGCAGATTCAATTATGTTCCTATTGAAAATGATTTTACAATTCGTTATTGAAGAAGCCATCTCCCAATATATTTGGTGAGAATTTTCTGACAAATGAACAAACAAAGCATTAGACAAATGTCTTAGTTATTTATGTTGCGAAATTCGAAATTTCAAATCTTTAGATGTTTGCCCAACATAGAACCAATTACAGTCTTTACAAGGCATTTTATAAATTACACAATTATCACTACAAGTACTGTTTCTAACTAATAAGTTTTCCAACAGTATTTTCCTAATTAAACAATACATGTATATCAAAAAGTTTCAAGGCCTTGACAATATATTCAAACCCAGAAAAATATGGTAAAATAACACATTCTTTGGGCGAATTTTCTCACTGCATATATTATAATATGTACGACGTCCTTTGCTACGGCAAACTTCCAAAAAACTCAGCGGATAACAAAGCTTGAGATAGAATCAATATTCTTAAACTCTTCATCCAAGAATTCTGTACTAACAACCCGAAGAGCTCTTACATAATAGAGAAAAAAAATTGATTTATTCACATTGTATCTATGCCCTGAGAAATAATGAACATAAGATAAATTATTCGTAGGCTTTCTGTAAGCACTAAACTTTAGTGAAAAATCTTCCCTATGAATAAGTATATATAAGAATGGGAAACATTTATAAATATCAGTCGCCATAGTAAATTTTATAGAGGTGACTTGATCATCAAGTTTAGCTACAAATTCCTCTGTATTTACATTTGTAGGCCATATACACAAAATATCAACATATCTAAACCACGGAATAATTCCAGGGGTAATTTTGATACAAATTTCTTTTCGAAGAATTCTATGTACAAGTTTGAAAGCAATGGCGATAAAGGATTCCCCATTGCCATTCCAAAAGTCTGTAAATAATACTCATTATTAAAGGTAAATTTACATTCTTTAATGCACAACTTAACGAGATTGCCAGTAATATCAGCAGAAAGAGGTAATACATGGTTCATTAATTCATGAGCAAGGTAATCAAGAATATCATCAACAGGCACCTTTGTAAACAAAGAACAAACGTCAAAACTGGTTAACTTTACATCAGGAGTGATTGGAGCACTATTCAATTCGTTAACTAATTCAATAGTTAAATGAGAAGAGCAAATAATCCCTAACAATGGGGACAAGATTTTAACTAATTCAATGGTCAAATGAGAAGAGGAAATAGTCCCTAACAATGGGGACAAGATTTTGGTAAGCCATTTAGAAAGCTTGTAAGAAATGGATCCCACAGAACTGATGATAGGCCTCATGGGTTAGTTAGGCTTATGAGAGTCTTGACAAGTCCATAGAGATATGGTAATGGTGATGAGATACTAAATTGATTAAGAAGATCTTTATGGATACTTAAAAACGTCCTTAAGCTGCTATTGAAGAACTTGATGATGTCATCAAGAGGATTTTTTCTGAGTTTAGTGTATGTTGAAGAATCTTGGAGATCATTCATTTTATATATATATATTCCTCTTTGATATAATAACAACAGTGCTGGATTTGTCAGCCTTTGTTATATGAATGGAGGGGTCGGCTCTTAGCTCCTGTATGCTTCGTTTGAATCTTTCAGGCGAAATTTATTCAAGCTATTTCCCTGAAATAGTTTCAGGGAATTTTTCACAACAAATTTCAGTTCCAAAACCTATCGTAATTTGCATATCAACTCATACCACAGTCTGAAAATCAACAATAAAGCCAAAGTTATTGGGCTACCGCCTTCAACCCATCCTCGACTCAAGTCCATTACATCCAGCGTTCGACCCCACAGACGCATTCATAAATTTTAACATGCTCTTCATTCAAAACGGGAATTTTCGTAAATATAAATTAATATTATAATATATTACCATATTGTGCATATATAGGCATAGGTTAGGTTAGGTGTTTAGATTCTGTTGGTGATTATTTGTATTTGTGGCACGTGGGTGAGGCATTTACAGCGTTGTGGTTCGAACAAAATTCGTCAGTGAATCACTTGTTCCGGAAGTGTTCTGACATCATAAATTGTGAGTCGTGTGTAAACCGTTTTTCAATCATAAGCAGGAGGTTTGGTGGGTGTATGGAATCACTTTTGGGTCTTTGTTTGGAGGACGGGCTGACCGCCCTGTACTTCATCATTTATACTTTATATCCCAATCCTTGTTCAAAATTTCCTGTATCTGTAACGCGTATCAGACTAAAACCTCCCTTCTCTGTTTTAGCTGGACGTTATTTAACGGATCTGTTGTTCACCATTCATTCCTATTGGAACCTGAGACCAGTGATACCTTGCGCTCTTAGTGATCAAACACCAGTGCCACCGAGTACAAGGAAAACACGCTTACCCAAGCTTCAGAAGATACCTTAATTGCTGCCACCACCTTCTAGCCCTGACACCAACGTCAGAACGCTAATTGACTGTTAGAAGGACCAATCAATTAGTTTCCCGGATACCCCGAGTGTGTATCCTTAATTCTTTAAAAGAAGGAATGAATTTACTTGGAAATGTGGTATACAAAACAAGGGAGGATATATTGAATGGATGAGGTTGCTTACAGAAACACATGGTCGTATAACACAAAACACAGGATCTTAAATGATCAGCAATAATTAATTGTTGAAGGGAGATAGGCTAAACACAAAAAGAATCAATAGTAATTTATTACAAATAATTAAAAAGAAACTTCTTAACAGAATATGAATATCCTAGAGGCAAATGAAAACCTGATTTTAAATTGAACTGTACTGAACTTCAAATAGTCACTATACCCAAATTTATTCCAAGAACCGGTCAGATGTTATAGCCTATCTCTGGAGGTGTTGACCCCAGGCCCGCCGATTCCACACTGCCTTAATTTTTCCTGACCTGCAGCAAGCAAGCTAATCCAGCCTATTGGCTGGTCTCCCTTAATTGCCACCGTTCACTACAATAACTAATTTATATTCACTAGGCAACTAAGAGTGATTTGATAATTTATTCTCAAACAGTAGGCATCCACCAGTCTCAGGAGACTATGGAGTTGCACTCTAGTTGTCGGTCTGGAGTGGTCTCTCCAGGGCACAAATCCAGGGTAGGTTGAAACGGAAAGGGGGGGGGGGGAGAAGTTGTCACTGTTACATGGGAATGGTTGGGCTGGGCCAAGGGGGCTTCTGTTCAAGGAAAAGAATAGTCAGTCTGCCTGACTCATGTAACTCACCAGAGTCCGTTGGTCCCAAAGGTGAGGACCATGTTAAGACCACCACCGCAGGTCTATGCTCCCACCACCTGGGTGCCACTGATCGCCCTGGGAGCCCTTCAGTCAACCATGGGGGAACTGCTACCAGCAATTCCAGCCTTGCCCCACGGCGGAGTGAAGGAAGATTTACCTTCAACAGCACTTCCTCCGAGTCTTGCCTGCCGTAACAAAAGTGTCGCAGGTCTCTCTTCCACACCTGCGTTTCTCCACTGTCACAAGGTTGCTAGCTGGGTTTATATCTCTGCACCCCAGCAGTGCAGTTCAGTGGTTATGTACTATGTTGATTGACAACGTACGCATTGCTACACTCAGTGTTAAATCAGGATTGCCAACCTGGGATATGTTTCATCAATATCTGTGTTGCTCTATCTCTACCAGTAACAAAGACATTTTCACATAAAAGCTTACTGTTCATATGAGGGGACTATAATATCACTCGCGTATGCTCATAAAGATATATGGTGTGATATATGACCTCCAGCAACTCCGTCAGCTGGGCAGATTTAGATGGGAGACTTGCACCCTC